TCAAGAAAATGCACCTAATCATAATTATATAAGAAAAATATATACATTTGTATACATAATTTATCAAACTATTTTAAGAGTCAGACATGACTGAGCAACTAAATTGAACTGAACTTATAAGAGATGTTTGGGTTGAGTAGAACTCATATTGGCATTATCCTTTCCAGAAAAGAGAAGCACAGAAGATTAAGATATTTGCTTAAAATCATCCAACTAATTAATGGTAGTGTCTTTGAGCTGGTGAAATATCTTAATCTTAATTTGCTTTCTACGACACTATATCTCTACAATGCCAAATAACAATAAACCAGTCATATCTGACATAGCAAGTGGGTATCGGAGATACAAGAGAATTCAGAAGTTAAGATGAAATAAAAAGAATTTGTTTGAAAATGAACTCTCTTTTCAAGTGCAATTGTTTTTCTTGTTCTGAATTTTTAATAAAATTTTCATTTTAGAATAATTTTAGATTTAAAAGAAGTTATAATGATGGTATAGAGAATCCCCATATAAGCTTCACTTTGTTTCCCATATTTTTAAAATTTATTTTAAAACTAAATAATAAATAACCATCAGTATATATCATCTAAAAGTTCAGAAGAGTGAGAAACCTATGTAGATGTGTAATGTGGAGTTATCATTTTTCTCATTTCACTCATGATCTAGGAAAGATGCTACTTCTCCAAGGTCAGATAAAAAATTGATGATTCATAAAATTAGAAATAGAAGTTGATGTGTTAAATAAACTATAAGGATGAATGAATTAATGTTTTTAAAATGACTTTCAAATTTATGGACTTCTTAAAATATGTGGATTCTTGCCTAAAGAAAAATTATTAATATTTAACTTGCTAATTTACTTTCCAAAACAAAATAGTTACATTAGGTCTTTGTTTATTTGCAACATGACCTGGCATGGTTCCTGATATGTCTGGAAGCTAAACGAAGACAAGTTAGTCTTTTTTTTGTTTTTCTATCTAGAAAGATGACAAGAGAACTACCAGGTTTTTTGTTTGTTTGTTTGTTTTTTGCTTTATTTGTAATGTGTATTTTAGAAAGGGAAATCAAATATTTTTGACCAAAACAAGTCAATGTTTCTTATTTTCAAAGTAATCACATTTTTTACACTTTTTTTCTTTCTTTCTTCTTCTTTTTTTTTTTTTTTGCTTTTAGATATTTGGTTAAAATATGTGACCATTTTCACAGAAACGTGGATCACCAGGATAATCACTTAAGCTAAAATATATCCACTGAAATATCATTCTACATGTTAATTATTTTTACTTTTTTCAAAATGGAAAACATAAGTATAGATATGTATTTCCTTAAATGTTAAAACTTTCATCTTGATCACTAAGTAGTAAAGAGGATTATGTGTGTGAAGTAGTCAGTTGCTGACAGCATAGTAAAACTTTTTCTTCTCCTCCTTTCCTTCTCTTTCCTCTCCTGCTGGTTGGTGAAAATTACTCTTCACTGCTATCAGTTATCATGGCCCTTAGGAGAACTGACTATGAGGTTGTGGAGACAGTTGTAGGCGCAAGGAAAAGGGACTGAGGTTAGTTGAGCAAGTGTCACTTGTTGAGTGGTACATTAGGTGATTTACATGTATTTTATGTCTTAGAGCTATAAACTATCTTGCAGCATGGATGTAATTTTCACATTTTAGAAAACATCATATTTCAGAAAACTTGGCAGGAAAGAGATCTGAACAACTTTCCGAAGATCACATAACTTAGGAAAGAAAGAAATGTAAATATAAACTATGTGCCTGCAACAGACACCACTCCTTAGGGAGAAGAATCCCTGTAACACCCACTCGATGGTGAGTGTTATGATCTCAACTGCTATCAAGATTCTTTTCCTGCCTCCACAAATTTCCCTGCGCTTGGGATAGTATGGATTAAGGTAAGTGAAATAAGTCTAGAGAGAAAAATACAATGACTGTATGATATCCCTTATACCTGGAATCTAAAAAACAAAACAAACAAATTGAAACAGAAACAGACTCATACATACAAAGAACAAACTGGTGGTTGCCAGAGGTGAGGGAAGTGGGGGATCAACAAGATAAGTGAAAGGGTTTAAGAGGTACAAACTTCCAATTATAAAATAAATAAGTCACAGGGATGTAATGTACAGAATAAGGAATACTGCAGTAACTCTGTATGGTGGCAGATGGTTACTAGACTTATCATGGTAATCAATCCATAATGTATATAAAAGTTGAATCACTATGTTGTATACCTCAGACTAATATAAGATTATATATCAACTATACTTCAACAAAATAATTTAAAATTAAATATTCCCCTGCACTTAAGTAACCTCAATAAATGGGTCACAGTAGAAGAGGTTTCTTCCAATTAAAATAGAGGATAGCCTAAGGAGTTTTCTGAAGCCATATATCAATTATAACTAAGACCAGATTTCCTCTCAACATTACTGAAGCCTCCAGTCAAAGACAGCAGTGTGCTTTTGTAACTGGAGCATAAGTCTGGGCCTCAGAACTTGTGACAGGCATGATTCTGACTCTGAGTTTGTGTGCAATCTTGAGCTTTTAATAGACATAACTTCCCTGATAATATTGTTATGCTAAAGCTACTTTCAAAGCATAGGTTCATTTTTGGAATGGGACACTACACTAAATTATGCTTTACAGACTGCAAAGACAATATTCTGGTGTTATCATACTTTGCTATTTTTAAAAAAAATATTACCTTGAAACATAAATGAAGAGGTTATTCAGGAAATTCCTTAAATTAAAATACTATTTATTATTCATCTAACATCTAGAATTAAGATACTTTTCATCAAATTCTACGCACAGAAACAGAAAGACACTAACCAATTTATACTGTAAATATAGAATCAAAATTAAAGTAAAACATAAACAAAAAGCAAGTTTACAAAAACTGCTTTATCATTGCCTTACTGTTCAGAATAGGGCAGTCTTATGTAACCTAGGTACACATAAGTCTTTTTAGTAAATGTTAGTATTAGTTTTACACTTGCTACGAAATTTGAAATTGTATCTATTGTTTGTTCTGGGAACGCCCCTGTTTGCAACCCTGTGCCAAGGAAAAACTACCTAGATTCCAAATAACCAAAACAGAGGCAAATTTTTGGAATATAACTTATTCATAATTAGGCCACTGTCTATAACATAAGCTTTCTATGAGGCTGGCAATACTGAGGACTAAGTGATGTTTTTAAACAAGTATGCACTAGAGAAGGGCTTCCCTGGTGGCTTGTTGACTTTAGAGATACATTACATGAGAACTACAAGGAATTTAAGAAGAAATAAAATTTGTCCAAATAAACTAACATTGCAGATTATTCTCAATATAATAAGAGTTATAACAACATCTAAATTCTGAACTCCTCCAATATTCCAGTAATTGTATTGGGTGTCTACCAGCATGGCTGATCTTTTCTAACCCTCATAACTAACATTAACATAATGTTGCAACCATGTTGCTGATAAGAAAAATAAAGTTTAGAAAAGTGAATTAACCTAGTATCAAATAACCAGAATATAAAGACAAACACCCTATTCCCAAGGTTTTAATTAATTGATCTTTGAAAATATTCACACCAAATGAAAATGGAACCAGGGACAATTTAGATACAGAGGAGAATTCCAAATCTGGCAACAGTAGAAAAAATGAAACAAAGGAAAACAAACAAACAAACAAACAAAAAGAAACATAGAAACAAAGCCAGAAAGACTACAGTCTATATATCTCCCTGGAAAAGATGTTCTGGGAGTATCGCAACCCCAGAATTAAGTATTTGTGGTAGTTTGTGTCATTTCTATACAAGCTGTGATTTTAAAACGAAATTTCATCTGTTAAATATCAGCTTCTCTGTTATATAACACTTAGGGGCTGTGAAAACAATCTCATCACTATAAAATCCTTCAGACCCATATTAACCTGAAATATCAATTTTGTTTTACTAGATTTAAGGATTCACAGGATTCCCACAACATTCCATACAGTGAGCAATGTATGGAATAAGTCACAGAAGGAATCCTCTTCTTCATTTGTTTTAACCTAGAGGGAATTTGCCTCCATTAAAAGCAGAAAAAAAGGATAAAGTCTTAAACCACAGACCAAAGTTCTACAAATTCGCCTGATTTTGTAGTATATTATAACTTACAAACATCTGTGACCCACAAATTAATAATTAAATTCAAGTTAAATACAATCAAGAGTTTTAAGAGCTTTTTGTAATAGGAAAATCACTCGTATCTTGTTCTATTTTAAAAATGAGTACTGATAACCACTGAATGGGTGATCACCTAAAGAAATTCTTGTTTATTTCCTATATAAATAGAAAATGATTTTAAGTCCTAGTGAAAAGTCCTTCATTTCTCTAGAGATAATTTTTTTCCTTTTTGTCAGTCAAAATATTCATTTCCAAAGGTTGAGATGGTGCTCCAAATATTCAATACTTTAATTACTGCTATTCTTTATCTCACAACATGAAATGAATTCCCACCAGAATTCATCTATCATAATAGATTATTCTGTAGATTGCATATATTGAGGCAATATTTGCCTTGATAACTCAAATTCTCTACTATTTTCCCTTGTAATCATCTTTCATACATGTTAATTCTAAGTTATAAAATATTGTCAAAACTTTAGTCAGAAATCACGAAAAACCAATTATTAATAGAATAAAGGAATGCAACTGTCTGTAAGCTTTCAAAATATGATTCTACCATCTATCTATTATCTGTCTCTCTAACCATCTCTTCATTCCTTATTCCCATCATCTGAAAACAAATTTAGAAGCATGGTAGGCTGAATGGAGCAGTTGAGAAGATAATTGTGGTATACCAGATTGCCAAGTCAAAAAAAAAAATTGAAATAGTTAATATGAAATAAATGAAGAAATTCAGCAGATTACATATTTTAAAAAAGGTGTATAATCATGCAACTCCATGGACAGTGACTCCACATACAAGCAAATGAAAGCAGCTGACCACGTACCCACACACCTTGGCAGAGGTGCACTCCACACTCGTCGGCCACCACCAAGACAGATGATCTCTGACGCCCCTTCCAGACGGTAACCTGATGAGCATGAGAAGGTCAGAGTGTCACCAACCCCAAAGGTGAACCCAATTCGGTTACCATATTGAGGAGTTCCAGGATCTTCACAAGGTTCCAGATTATACTCTGTAATTAGATGCAGAGAAAAACAAAGACAACAGTAGTAACTTTTAAGGGTATACTTCTGTTTTGTAAACTGGTTGCTTTCAGGGCCAGCCATATATTTCAAAAGTGCCTCTAAGTATAATTATGGGCATCCCCGCCCACCCCCCTCCCATGGCTCAGGGATGAAGAATCCTCCTGCAATGCAGGAGACACAGAAGTGGGTTCTATCTCTGGGTTGGGAAGAGCCCCTGGAGGAGGGCATGGCAACCCACTGCAGTATTCTTGCCTGGGAAAGCCCATGGCCTAGGAAAGCCCTAGTGGGCTACAGTCCATAGGGTCCCAAAGAGTCAGACAAGACCGAGGTGACTGAGCACACATAGATATAATTAGGGTATATGCTATGGCATACATAATTTTCTTCTTCTGTGAAAGACCTGCAAGGAGATCAAACCAGTCAATCCTAAAGGAAATCAGTCCTGATACTCATTGAAAGAACTGAAGCTGAAGCTGAAACTCCAATAATTTGGTCACCTGATGCGAAGAACAGACTTATTTGAAAATACCCTGATACTGAGAAAGGTGTAAGGAGGATTGAAAACAAAGATTGAAGTAGAAGGAGAAGGGGACGACAGAATGAGATGGTTGGATGGCATCACCGACTCGATGGACATGAGTTTGAGTAAGTGATGAAGCAAGTTTGAGCAGCTCTGGGAGCTGGTGATGGACAGGGAAGCCTGGCATGCTGCAGTCTATGGGGTCCCAAAGACATGACTGTGTGACTGAACTGAACTGAACTGTGAAAGACCTAGTAATATAATAAATACTTTTATGTGTGAAATGAAATAAAGATGAGAAAGTGTCACCTTGAGAATGATACATTGGAAATGTAGATATTTACCTTGTATTTTTTTTTCTGTATTAGAAACATTTTGTTTCTTAGATTTTTGACTTAAAATAATGACATGATAGATTCATATTTTCAAATGCAAAATAGCATTTGGAATGAAATCATTTGCATTTTGAAATGACATTTGCTTAATGGTTTTAGTCTAAATGACAAAGGCTCTCGTGCCTGTAGTATACAAGGAATTCTATTAATACATATTCTGAAAAATATGTGACTTCAGAAGCAAGAGTTTATGTAAGACTGACTGCCCACAAACTGAAAGTTGTATATTATAGATTTATACCAGAAAATTTCCTCAAGCAATGAATGAACATCATGAAAATAAATCATTAAACACTCTTCAGGGTATGACAGACTAAATTTAATTAACCATAATATTATAACTTATATACAGCCTTAAGAAGAAGTAGTTTATCTAAAAACATTTCCAGAACACACACTTAGTACCTAACTGCAGTGGAGAACAAAGGGATTGCTTCATGTTGATGAGCTATTACTTTATTAACATTCTAGGTTAAAACTAATTATGCTCATGTATTCTTTTCTATGAAATACCTTATTTTAGAAGACAAATATCTCCATGAAAATACTGGAATAACAATTGAAGAACAAAATCAGTATTATTTTATTTATATATTTGTAATATACTTGATTAATATAATTATGTATAATTATAATATTGTAAATTTAATATTATAAAGTTGGCAAAATATTTACTTATTGTTTCTGTATTCTCTTTCACTATTCCATTTAACTAAAAAGTAGAACTTACAAGAATATTTCTTTGTTCAGTTTGGTCTTATAATTCTTTTCCCTTATGATCCAAGTTATATTATTGCCTATAGATATAATACTGCCTATAGAGGTTATTCTAGAATAAAAAGAAACAAAATTAACTTGCCTCTAGATCATCTAGTTCCAAATGAATATATTAATCTTAATCTTGGCCTGTAAAAAATGACTTTTTCCAGAAATACAAAACTAGAATATCACTGGTTTAATTCACATTTCATTAATGGACTAAGTAAACCTTTACATATATGTAAGGGCTTCCATTTTAAGTTCACTTGACATTTTTAGCAAGCCTTCCTCTCAGCATTCTATAGAATATAAGTTAAAGAAATGTATTTATTGTATTTCCAGTAAATTTTTGTGAATTAATTTCTTTTTTTGCTACTGTTTTAAGGTTCCCTTTAATATATTACTATAGTCAATCTTCAAGGCACTTCAAACTTTCCTTAAAATTTGTTGGCAGATAGCTTTTTTGCTTTCATCTTTTTTTGTCTCATTTTCTCTCTGTTTGGTCATGCATAAGCTATTTTCATACTTTTAAAACTCTGGTTTTAAAACTTATTTTCTTACCAGAGAATGTAATGTTGAATCCTTCATAGGATATTGAGAAATCAGAAATGAAGCGCAACTGAGCCCTGAAATTTCCATAGAGACCAGCATTGATTGTTGAAGGAAGTTCTGAACCAGTCAGGCGTGCCAGTGGCTGGGTAAAACTGCCATTCTCTGTGATCAGTAAGTAGTCATGATGGTCTTCCAAATGAAAGGTATGGAAGCTGAACTGTACACCTAATAAGGAAAAGAGGAAAATTAGACTTATAAAGTATATTAGTAAAACACACAGAGTTACAAACTAACAAAAATCAGGACTCATAACAGATTTTTGTAAAAATGAAAGGCCCTGGTATAAAACATTCTGAATATATAATATAATTATTATAGCTTTCTTTTGTTTTGAGTTTTTCTGTCTGCTTGTTTTCCTTAGCTTCTCTATAAGGTTTATAATGAGTCATATCTTGGAAACTGCTTGGAAATAAAATTTTAAAATTACTGTCTAAAAAGAAATTACATGCATCTTCTGAGAATTTCAAGGAAAACTTATATACTTTATTTAAATAGAAGTGTTTTGGCAAAAGTAACCACTCATTCAACTTCTAATAGGATAGACTACTCTGTTACTACCTAACAGAATTTAAAATTTTCCCATGTATTAATCTCAGTACATATCAGAACAAGCACATTTTTCTAAGAAAAACATGCAGACTGATAGTCTGATTTTTTTTTTTCTTTTTTGTTCATTTGCTCTTCCGACTATTTTTCTTTTTAGTCTCTGACCAAAATCTAATTCACTTTATCTGAACTTTTGCTCATGTTAAAGTGCTCAGCAACTCTTTGTAGTTTATATAATGGATTCATATAAGGTATACTCTTTTTGGTTTGAGTTCTTTAGCATGCGTGATCAGTCTCAAAGTCATGTCCAACTTGTTGCCACCCCAGGGACTGTAACCTGCCAGGCTCCTCTGTCCATAGTATTTCAGATAAGAATACTAGAGTGGGCTGCCATTTCCTCCTCCAGGGGATCTTTCTGACCCAGGGATCAAACCCGCATCTCCTATCTTGTAGGTGGATTTTTTACCACTGAGTCTCCTGGGAAGCCCTTGAGTTTCTTTTGCTCACCACTAAGTGTGTGAGATTTATCTCTACTTTTGTGTGTGATTGTAAGTTGTTTTAGAGATCCATTTCATTTTGTGAATACAACACATTCATTTGTCTGTTCAAAAGCTGATGGTCATTTAGGTAATTGACATTTTAGCTTAAATGCAGAAAATGCTGCTATGAGCATTCAAGTATGTCTTTTGAAGAACATATTTGCTTATTTCTGCCTGATCAATTCCTAGAATTACTGACTCATGGGAAATTTATATATATATATATATATATATATATATATATTTCAGCTTTAATAGATACTGTTTCACAAAGTGGCTATGCCAATTTACACTTTCATCAACAAATCCAATTGGTATCTTCATCAATATTTGAAAGTTTAAATTTCTTTTTTTAATTTGTTCTATCCTGGTGAGTATGGTATGTCATTGCATTGTGGTCTTATGCGACTGTTTAATGACACTATCTCAAATGAATGTAATAACCTAACAGTTACTTACACACACACACACACACACACACACACACACATCCCATACTGTTTGTAAGATATGCATATGTGTGTGCTCAGTTGCTCAGTTGTGTCCGACTATTTACGACTATGGATTGTAGCCAGCGAGACCCCTTTGACGTGGGATTTTCCAAGCTAGAATACTAGAGTGGGTTTCCATTTCCCGCTTCAGGGGGTTTCCCGACCCAGGGATCAAACCCACATCTCCTGTGTCTCCTGCATTAGCAGGCAGATTCTTTACCACTGAGCCGCCTAGGATGCTGTATGTAAGTACCAGATGAAATAAAGGATGATATAACATGCATCTTTCTTTTGAAGTGCTTAATCAATTTTCTTATTTGATCTAAAAGAATCACCAAAAGCTTCAGCAAAAACCCAGTAACATGAGTTAGTGGGTAATGATAAAATAACATTCTTAATGCTATTTATCAACTTTATAGTTCCAAATGATGGATTGTTTTGGAGTCCTCGTTGGTTTTTTAAAAAATTGAAGCATGGTTGATTTACAAAGTTGTGTTAGTTAGTTTCAGGTATACAGCAAAGTGATTCAGATATATGTGTGTATGTATATTCTTTTTCATATTATTTTCCAGTATAGATTATTACAAGATGCTGAATATAGTTTCCTGTGCTATAGAGTAAGCCCTTGTTGTTTATCTATTTTATTGTATATGTTAATCTCAAACTCCTAATTTATCACTTGTTTGCTAAAAAAGCAAAAAGTAAAATAAAATGAGACCAAAAAATAAATTGACAATATAAGTAATGATGAGTTATTATTGCATAATAGGCCAGTGATTTCAACTTGGAAAATATTTGAAATATATAATGATACTCTTTTTCAAAATATAACACATTTTTTTCTCTCACTCCACAATGAGCCCTTTTTAGGACTGAGTCCAGAAAGTCAGTGTCTCTCCATCTGTTTGTGTCCTCTTTGATTTCTTTCATCAGTGTTTTATAGTTTTCTATGTATAGGTCTTTTGTTTCTTTAGGTAGATATACCCCTAAGTATTTTATTCTTTTTGTTGCAATGGTGAATGGTATTGTTTCCTTAATTTCTCTTTCTGTTTTCTCATTGTTAGTGTATAGGAATGCAAGAGATTTCTGTGTGTTAATTTTATATCCTGCAACTTTACTGTATTCATTGATTAGCTCTAGTAATTTTCTGGTAGAGTCTTTAGGGTTTTCTATGTAGAGGATCATGTCATCTGCAAACAGAGAGTTTCACTTCTTCTTTTCCTATCTGGATTCCTTTTACTTCTTTTTCTGATAGGCTTCCTTATAATTCAAAAGAGTCTTTGTAACCTGTTATTTTGAGGGTGCTAATAATAATTTTAATAGCTATAATTTATTGAACACTTAGACACTGTGGTAATTTCTTTATGTATGTTATTTCATAAAAGTGAGTGATCTCATTTTAGGTGATCTATTGATAATTATTTTACAGTTTAATCTATTCCTGGGCTTCCCTGGTGACTCAGAAGATAAGGAATCTGCCTGCAGAGCTAGAGACCTGGGTTTGATCCCTGTGTTGGGAAGATCCCCTGGAGGAGGACATGGCAACCCACTCCAGTACCCTTGCCTGGAGATTCCCCGTGGATAGAGGAGCCTGGTGGGCTACAGTCCATAGGGTCGCAAAGAGTTGGACATGACTGAGTGAATAAGCACAGCACAGGCTATTCCTAGGATTGTAAATAACTCATATTTTTTAGAATTTGCTTTATTCACCAGTGTTTTGAAGGACATGACAAAGGATCAGGAAACTGAAGTCTTACAACTCACTTAACTGTAAATAATAATAGAAGTTCTCCAGAGGCGAGGACAATTTCATGCTTAAAGAATTCATGATGGCACAATACTCCTGTATTAGGTACCAGTTGACCAGTGACTGTATAACATCCCAGCAGACAAAGATAAACCTATAGAATTTTCTTCGAATTTGAGAATGTAACAGATAACAGCTAGTGACCAGTAACCTGGGTGAATGAGCATATATTTTCCCTTCACTGATACTACCTAAATGATTTAATGATAGTTTTGAGAACTTTTTTCTGCTGCTCCCTCTTAGGCTCGTGTTCCTATCCCACTGTTGTCTGTGGCTGATTACTATGGTAATAGCCTTGTTGCCCATCTTATTAACTTGTTTTAGCGTACCATCTTCGTGCATAGTTAGCTCTGGGATGCATACAGTGCAGCGGGGGTTATTTCACAAATTCCTTTTCCTTTAGTTGAGACTTAGAACATTGGTATTCTGCTGCTATTGAAGTTACTAGTTTAAGTATTAATGCATCTTAATTACTGCTTGTAAAAGGCCCCTTTTAGGACTCAAGTTTTTATTTTGGTCCCAAATTTAATCTTTTGGCTTTAAGTTCAAACTGTTGATGTGGCCAACTCTCTAAATAGTCTCTTTGCTAAGTGTCCTTGATTCTAGATTTGGGAAAAACTGCTTTCTAGAGATTTTCTGTTAACTGCTGATAGTAGCCATGCTGCCAGGCTATATTTTTAGCTTTTTCATACTTGAACTACTCTATTGGAGCCATCGCATCAGTTAATACAGTGTTTAGAAGCACACGTTTTAGAGTCAACTCGACCTACATTTGAATTCCAACTCTGACACTGGTTAGCTCTGTCTTTGTGCTTGTTTTCTTTTCTGTAAATTGGACATAAAAACCTCTGTTTCATAAAGTATATGAAGTATTTAGGGCAGTGCCTGGCATATGCTAAGGCCTAATAATTTGTAACAACAGAATCATCATCGTCATTATTCTTATAGCTTCTTTTAGTGTTTATTATTTTCTTCTCCTTTTCATCCCCTCCTTTTGTAAATCTTACTTAGATTCTAGTTCCTTTTCTTAGATTATTGGAGCATCTTGGATTTTGTGTTTATTTAGTTTTTTATTCACGAGTTTATAAAAGATGCATCTGCACCTGGCTTTTTCCAGATTGTGACCTCCCATGCACCCCTCAGCTCAGTGTAATCTATTTTTGGTATCCATCATTCCACTGAAATAGCTTTTGTCAAGGTCGATAGTGAACCTGCTGCTAAATGAAGAGACCTTTCTCCGTCCTTATCTTACATGGCCTTTGCAGTCCAAAAGGATGGCTTTCTCATTCTTGAAAGAGTCTTCCTTTCACTTCTATTTTGGTTTTTCTCACTTTGACTGCCCATCATCTTTTGCCCTTTCCTTGAACTGGCAGTGTTTCTCAGAGTTTGATTTATAGTTCTTTACTGTTTTAAAAGTGTTTTATATTATGTAATACTTTATATACACATGAATATATACATGTATGTATATGTTTAGAAAGCACAATGGCAAATGAATTGATGTGAACTCACCATTCAATTTAAAAATTACCAATACCTTGTTTCTTTGCATACTCTGTGATAGGCTGAATAATACCCTTTCACTCTAAAATGTCCATGTGTTAACCCCCAGAACATACGAATGTTACCTTGAATGCAAAAGTGACTTTATATGTATGATTAAATTGAGGCTTATTTTAGAGGTGGGAACTTATCCTTTTGGGCCTGATGTAATAAAAACGGTTCTTATAAGAAGGACACAGGAAGAGTCGGAGGAGAAGGAAATACCACCAACAGAAGCAGAGACTAGAGTGATGTGACCACATGGTAAGGCAGACTGAAAGCTGGAAAAGACAAGGAAGGGCTTTTCCCTTGGTGCCTCCAGAAGGAACCAGCCTTGTGACACATTGATTGTTATTAGCCTGTGAGACTCATTTTGGATTTCTGACCTCCAGAACTGTAAGAGAGTAAATTTATATTGTTTTACTGCACCAACTTTGTGGTAATTTGTTATGGCAGCAATTGGAAACCAGTAACTCTTCTTCTATCTCATTATCTGCTGTGACCTCAGTTACCATATGTTTACACTAAAGCTTAAATGTATGTAGTTCATTTGTACCATATACACTTTTTACCCAAGGAATTCAACCTAAGTTCATGGCAAATAAGAGTAGAAAATGTTTTAGTAACATTTAAAAATTCAAGTTGGATCTTTGATGTTTTACCTAAGTGATTGCTTACTTTTCAACCAAAGAAACAATATATTGTTCTACTGCTAGAGGATTGGCTTATTAAGATAAAACTGTATCTTTTTCTTGAATTCTAGACCCTTAGAACTAACCACTTGATTTTCCACAGGCATCTTAATTACAGTATGTCTGAAACAATTTGATAATGATCATCTCTTCCACTGCTTTCTCATTTTTCCCTTAGTTATTGTTACCAGTACCCAGCCAGTTATCTGAGCCAGACACCTATGTATCATTCCTATCTTCTCCCTCTCTTAGGCCTCCTATCAGTGTCATTCAGTTCTAGTATTCATTTTCCTAATTCTCATTCAATTTCCATCCTTACTGCAACTGTAGTTACTTTCATCCTACCTCCTAACTGGTCTACTTGTCTTTGGTCTTAATTTGTTCTCTGTATTGCCTATAGGATAAAGTCCAAACTTCTCAACATGTCAGAAAGCCCTTCATATTCCCTGCCTGCATCTTCTTTTCATTCTTTGACATTCATCCTCTTCTCAGTTCCATTCTGGCCCAATCTCCAGCCATATGCAAACTATATTTTGGCTGTTGTGAACTACTTACTGTCCCTGACTGCTGGCACCTGTATGTTCTCTCTCCTGTGTAATTAAGATTCTATCTGCTTAGACTGTTTCTTCTGCTTTCTCCTCTGTCCTTCCTGTCTCTTACCCCACCTCAACACTCTTTGCATACTTAAGTACTATTTATCCTTCAAGTGGCACATTACCATCACTTTCTCTAAGGAGCATTATTTGAATTCACAAGCTTAGGTTAAATCCCAGTTCTGTGTGGTCTTAGAGTGCCTTATTCTTATGTCTTACCTCTTTCTGGTACTAGCTGTACTTCATTGTGATTGCCTATTTCTTTGTCTCTGTTTCCCATTAGTCAAAAGTTCTTTGAGAGATGGAACTGTTTTCTTCACCTTTTGCCTTTCATAGCATAACACAGTACTTAACTACGGTAACATCTGTGGGCTTATATGATTATACAATAGTATAGAAAATTTTAAATATTTCACAGCAGCATCTCCTTAAGCAAGATAGTATTTTAGATTTTTGTTTTCCTTATGAAATAAATGTTTGGGTTTTAAATGTGTCATGGACAATGATGCTATAGATTACTGGAAAGTGACTTTTTTCCTTGTTAGGTTGTGTCCTGCTTCTTCCTTATATTGAATAATAGTATTGCATGTTGCAGACTTCATATTTTTTAAAAATTCTTTAAAAAAAAAGACTTGATTTACAGCATTTCAGGTGTACAGCAAAGTGAATCATTTTTATATATATTCATATAGCTCTATAGTAGGTCCTTGTTATCTATTTTATATATAGTAGTGCATATATGTTGATCCCAAATTCCTAATTTATCCCTCCTTCCTTTTCCCCTTTGGTGACCATAAGTTTATTTTCTGTGTTTATTTCTATTTTGTATAAGTGATGTCATGTGATATTTGTCTTTCTTTCTTTGACTTACTTAATGTGATAATATCTAAGTCCATCCATGTTGTATTATTTCTTTCTTTTTTATGACTGAGTAATATTCCATAATATATATTCTGTAATAAATTAGTAATATTTCATTTTCTTTATCCATTCATCTGTTTGTAGACATTTAGATTGATTCTATTTTTGCTGTTGTAAACAATGCTACTCTGAACGTTAGAGTGCATGTATCCTTTTGAATTAGAGTTTTCTTCAGATACATGCCCCAAAATGGGATTGCTGGATAATATGGTAACTCTGTTTTCAGCTTTTTAAGGAACCTCCATAATGTTCTTTGGTTTAGGAAGGTTCTCATTTCTCCACATCCTCTCCAGTGTTTATTATTTGTAGACTTTTTTTTTTTTGGCCACTTAATTTTTTTAATTGAAGGATAATTGCTTTACAGAATTTTGTGGTTTTATTTCCTGAAAATAAAATTCATCTTTTTAGTCCATATATATGCATTAGTATACGATATTTATATTTCTCTTTCTGACTTGCTTCACTCTGTATAATAAGCCCTAGGTTCATCCACCTCATTAGAACTGTCTCAAATGCATTCCTCTTTATGACTGAGTAGTATTCCACTGTATATATATAACAGCTTCTTTATCCATTCAACTACTGATGGACATCTAGGTTGCTTCCATATTCTTGCTATTGTAAATAGTGCTGCAGTGAACATTGGGGTACATGTGTCTTTCAGTTTTTGTTTCCTCAGGGTATATGCCTAGTAGTAGGATTGCTGGATCATATGGTGGCTTTATTCCTAGTTTTTAAGGAATCTCCTTACCATCTTCCATAGTGGTTGTATCAATTTACATTCCCACCAGCGATGCACGAGGGTTCCCTTTTCTCCACACCCTCTCCAGCATTTATTGTTTGTAGATTTTTTAATGATGGCCATTCTGACTGGTGTGAGGTGGTATCTCATTGTAGTTTTTATTTGCATTTCTCTAATAATTAGCAGTGTTGAACATCTTTTCATGTGCCTGTTGGTCATCTGTATGTCTTCTCTGGAGAAATATTTAGGTCTTCTGTCCATTTTGTGGATTGCTTTTTGTTTGTTTTTTGATATTAAGCTGTATGAGCTGTTTCTATATTTTGGAATTAGTCCCTTGTTGATGCATTGTTTGCAGATATTTTCTCACATTCTATAGGTTGTCTTTTCATTTTGTTTATGGTTTCCTTTGGTGTGCAAAAGCATTTAATTAGGTTTCATTTGTTTATTTTTGCTTTTGTTTCCATTACTCTAGGAGACCAATCCAAAAAAATATTGCTGTGGTTTATGTCAAAGAGTGTTCTGCTTATGTTTTCCCCTGTGAGTTTTATAATATCCAGTCTTGCATGTAGGTCTTTAACCCATTTTGAATTTTATTTTTGTATTTGCTGTTAGGGAATGTTCTTACTCTTTTACAAATAGCTGTCCAGTTTTCCCAGCACCATTTATTGAAGAGACTGTCTTTCCTTCATTGTGTATTCTTGCCTCCTCTGTTGTGGATTAATTGACCATAAGTGCATGGGTATATCTCTGGGCTTTCTATCTTATTCCATTAATCTATATTTCTGTTTTTGTGCTGGTACCATACTGTTTTGATTACTGTAGATTTGTATTGATAATATAGTCTGATGTCAGGGAGTGTGATTCCTTCAGCTCCATTCTTCTTTCTCAAGATTGTTTTGGCTATTTGGGGTCTTTTGTATTTCCATACATATGCCATTCGAAATTTGATAGGGGTTGCACTGAATCTGTAGATTGCCTTGGGTAGAATGGTCATTTTAATGATACTGAGTCTTCCAGTCCAAGAATGTAGGTGTATCTTTCCATCTGTCTGTCATTTTCAATTTCTTTCATCAGGGTCTTACAGTTTTGGGAATACAAATCATTTGTCTCCTTAGGAAGGTTTATTGCTAGATATTTTATTCTTTTTGATGCAATCGTAAATGAGATTGTTTTCTTAATTTCTCTTTCCGATATTTTGTTGTTAGTGTATAGAAATGCAACAGACTTATGTATTTTAATTTTCTGTTTAGCAACTTTTCACTAATGGGCTCTCGTAGTTTTCTGGTGGCATCTTTAGGATTTTCTCTGTATAGTATTTTTAGCCATCTGCAAACAGTGACAGTTTTACTTCTTCCTTTCCAATTAAGATTCCTTTTGTTTTTATTCTCTGATTGCTGCTAGGATCCAAAACTATGTTGAATAAAAGTGGCAAGATTAGGCATTCTTGTCTTTTTCCTGATTTTAGAGGAAATGCTTTCAGCTTTTCACCGTTGGGTGTGATATTAGCTGCAGATTTGTCCTATGTGACCTTTATTATACTGAGGTATGTTCCCCTCTGTGCCCATATTTCTGGAGAGTGTTTATCATAATGGATGTTGAATTTTATCAAAAACTTTTCCTGTATCTGTTGAGATGATCATATGTTTTTTTTTCTCTTTAGTTTGTTAATGTGGTGTATCACAACTGATTGATTTGCAGATATTGAAAAATCCTTGTATCTATGGGATGATTCCCACTTGATCAAGGTGTATGAGCCTTTTAATGTATTGTTGGATTCAGTTTGCTAGTGTTTTGCTGATGATTTTTGCACCTGTATTCATTGCTGATACTGACCTGTAATTTTCTTGGGTGTGTGTGTGTGGTATCCATGTTCTAAAGCTTTCTCTTATGGCAGTATTTACTAAAATGAATAGGTATAATTCTGTCGGTCAGCTTTTTTTGGTGAATTGAGTCTTCACTATGACTCCAAAGTTTTCCATCAAAGACAGAATGGATAAGATGGAAATGTATTGCAAATTTAAATAATTGCCATTTTTTTCTATAATGATAGCTCTGTAGCTATTATACTATAGATTTTGTAATTACGGAGTGCTCAATACACAGAATAAATCCTGATTTGAGATTGAGAATTACTTTCTGCTGTTACAGTCTGCATTAAGCAAACCATATGATTTTACTTAGTTCTATTCATTCAGTTTTGTTTATTTTAGAAGTAAAAACAAGTAAAAATGGAATCTATTAGTTTTTAAAGGATTTTAGAGTATTGTATATATTGTTAAATGTTACCATTTCATTCAATTTACTGGGAGGAAGTTGGGAGGAGGTAAAAATAAGAAGCATTGGAGGAAAAATAAGCATTTTTTTGAAAATAAAGAATTCTTGATCTTTCAACCACAATTTAAACTCCTGATTTTGTGGGATTATACCTAATTTAAAAATAAACCATGAATTTACTTGTCAAGATTGTACATCACACAACAGGCACTAGATGTGTGAATAAATTAAAGTAACATGCTAAACCTTTTGTAGTTCCCTTCTCAATCCTATAGCATTGGATGCTCAATAAAAGCAAATGTATCTAGACAGCATGGGCAACATTGTTGTTTTTCTTGACAGTCCTGCCATATCCTACTACATCTTCCACTCCACAATGTATAGTTTTTCCTTCTATATCAAGAAAAGCACCATGATATAGCTTTATTACAGAAATTACCACTAGCATTCAGAACAGTGACATTAAAATTACTGTTTACATGTTTGCTTTCCTACCAATAAAACCTTTAAAGCCAATTACTGGATCTAGTATTGTGCATAAGACAGTAGATGTTTCGGTATATGTTTGATGAATTGAGAATAAGAGTTAGAATTTTGGTATACTTTCTTAAGTATATATGGTCAATAGAGTTCAACTGAACACAGATACACTATTTTGTAGTTGACAAGTATTAACTCTTAGGTGATGTTTAAGCTTCTCTCCAAAGTATTTTATTGTCTGGATATTGGTCAGTGCAACCAAAAATATTTAAAGTTAAAAACCTCTTTGGGAATTCCCTGGCAGTCCAGTGGTTAGGACTCTGCACTTTCGTTGCTAGGGGCCCAGGTTCGGTCCAGAGTCAGGGAACTAAGATCCTGCAAGCCTTGGGCCATAGCAGTGTGACTATAGTCTGTGACTGTAGTCTATGACTGTAGTTGATACTGTATTGCATATTTGAAAGCTAAGAGAGTAAAACTTAAAAAGTTACTATAAGAAAAAGAATTTATAACTATGCTGATGGCATTGACTTATTTCTGCTGATCATTTTGTAACATATGCTGATCATTTTGTAATATATGCAAATAGTGAATCATGTACATCTGAGACTAATACATGGTTCACTTCAAAAAATTTTAGGTAAATGTTTATTGTTGTTCAATTACTAAAACATGTGGAAGTGAAATCTATGTCAACATTAACACTGAAGACTAAAGTGACAGATGGAAGCACTGTTTCAAGAATCTTTTGTAAAATGATATATTATTATTTGTTGTTGTTTTTTAGTCGCTAAGTCACAACTGACTCTTTGTGACCCCGTGGACTGCATGCATCACGCTAGGTGCCCCTGTTCTTCACTGTGTCC